ATTAGCTCGCCATGAGAAAACACCCGCCATCTTTCTTAAGCCATTAGCTGTTCATCTTCTTAACAAAAGGAATGACCTTCCAGTTGTTAACACACATATATTTGTTGAACAGGGTGTATTACCCAGGGAGGGAAGCCGGGATCGTGCCCAAACCCAAATTTCCGGCCTCGTCACCATGAGCACCAATGACCACGGCCCACGTCCGAAAGGAAAGGGATTCAAGAAGCCAAAGCATGATTCCTCTTCTGAGGAGTCGGTCCTCTCAGAACGGAACCCAAGTTCCATTCCTCTTCTGAGGAGTCTGGCTCCTCAGAACGAAGGCAGAAAAGCGGTGGTCACCATCCACCATGGAAGAAGGGACATCGGAATTCTGCAAGACTCCACCATGTGGGGGAAGATGGAGACTGCCCAGATGATCTGAAGTGTTGCCTTATTTCCCCGCTGTGGAGGAGGTGTGTGAGACCCGTACCCATGCTGCAAGGAAACAACCTTGGCGGAATAAGTGTCTTAAACTCTGGTGCTTGTTCCAAAGCCCCATCTTTGGTAAGTAGAGTCCTGCATTCCATTCCATGTCCACCATGTCAAAACTGGCAGCCATGTTGTGCCTAACCTGCTGAAATAGTATCTATTAATACTGCTGATATTGTGGTACAGTTGGTACCTTGGTTCTCAAACCTAAATCCTTTCCTGAAGTCCATTCCAAAACCAAAGCGTTCCAAAACCAAGCGCCCGCTTTCCCATAGAAAGTCATGCAAAATGATTAATTCCCTTTCCAGACTTTTAAAACAATACTCCCAAAACAGCAATTTAACATGAGTTTTATTATCTAACGAGGACCATGCGATCCCATAAATGAAAGCAATAATCAATGTAAAGGTAAAGGTACCCCTGCCCGTACGGGCCAGTCGTGTCCGACTCTAGGATTGTGCGCCCCATCTCATTAAGAGGCCCGGGGGCCAGCGCTGTCCGGAGACACTTCCGGGTCACGTGGCCAGCGTGACGAAGCTGCTCTGGCGAGCCAGCACCAGCGCAGCACACGGAAACGCCGTTTACCTTCCCGCTATAAAGCGGTCCCTATTTATCTACTTGCACTTAGGAGTGCTTTCGAACTGCTAGGTGGACAGGAGCTGGGACCGAAAGACGGGAGCCTCACCCCGCCGCAGGGATTCGAACCGCCGACCATGCGATCGGCAAGCCCTAGGCGCTGAGGTTTTACCCACAGCGCCACCCACGTCCCTAATAATCAATGTACTGTACCATAAAATAAATAAGACATTGTAGATGATAAAAATCAAAAATAATTTTTTTTCTTACCTGCACCGTTGATAGTCATTGTTTGGATGGGGGGCTTTTATCCATTTCTGCAGTGACACAATCAATCAATCAATCAATCAATCAGTAGCTGGACTGGGTTCCACACAGTCACAAAAACAAATTAACCGAAAAAGCTACAAAAACAAAAATGCCAAAATAAATAGCAAAAACAAAAAGCGCCAAACTTAATCCATTCCGGAAGTCCATTTGACTTCCAAAATGTTCAAAAACCAAGGCACAGCTTCTGATTGGTGCAGGGGGCCCCAGAAACAATAGCCGACAGCCACATCGGATGTTCGGCTTCCGAAAAATGTTCAAAAACCGGAACACTTCCGGGTTTTTCAGCGTTTGGGAACCAAGGCGTTTGAGTACCAAGGTACCACTGTATTCTGCATTCCCTCACCTACCCTTCCTGAAACAGTGAAGTGGGAGGTGGGAAGTGTGTTTTGACCATTTGGGCATATAAGCAGTATAGAAGTTAATGATAATTCTAGTTTTGTTGACGCAAAGGTGGGAGACCAGCTTTTGCACCGCTTGCGTCTCCTGCTTGGCCCAGAGAGAGGCTCCATTCTCCAAGAACTTGCTTGCTAGCTCTTTGAACACCAGGTGGAGCCCCCCCCACCCCACTTAAACAGCCTGTTTCTTTTCTGCCCCGCAGAACTCGAATAGACGTCACAGCAGGACTAAACCACAAGTGGGACCGGCTGCATAAATTCTGCGCCCTTTCAGGTTTAATTGGCTTCCTCAAAAGCAAAACAAAAAAGCAACCAGATTAAAAAATAAAAGCATTAGCAACTGATTTTCAAGCTGTGTATGCTCATCTTTTTGTGCCCATTGAATTCATCTGATATTTGCGTGAAAGCTCAGGTCCTCAGGGCACCTCAATGATATACTACTACTACTAATAATAATAATACTAATAATACTAATAATACTAATAATACTAATAATAATTTATTATTTGTACCCCCCCCATCTGGCTGGGTTTCCCCAGCCACTCTGAGAAGCTTCCACAAAGACCAAGAATACACTAAGATGTCACACATTAAAAACTTCCCTGAACAGGGCTGCCTTAAGATGTCTTCTGAATGTCAGGTAGTTGTTTATCTCTTTGACAGCTGATGGGAGGGCGTTTCACAGGGCGGGCGCCACTACCGAGAAGGCCCTCTGCCTGGTTCCCTGTAGCTTTGCTTCTTGCAATGGGGGAACTGCCAGAAGGCCCTCAGAGCTGGACCTCAGCGTCCGGGCCTGAACGATGGGGGTGGAGATGCTCCTTCAGGTATACTGGACCGAGGCCGTTTAGGGCTTTAAAGGTCAGCACCAACACTTTGAATTGTGCTCGGAAACGTACTGGGAGCCAATGTAGGTCTTTCAAGACCGGTGTTATGTGGTCTCAGCGGCTGCCCCCAGTCACCAGTCTAGCTGCCGCATTCTGGATTAGTTGTAGTTTCCGGGTCACCTTCAAAGGTAGCCCCACGTAGAGCGCATTGCAGTAGTCCAAGCGGGAGATAACTATGATGCTATGGAAAACATGAATCATAACAAAAGCAGCATGGGAGGGTGGCTTGGACACTACCAGAAAGCAATGGTGGAGCATTTCTTGCTGGCGCCCGGGGTGGGTAGGTGTGCCATGGGGGCAGTGCACACTGCTAGAGTGACCCCCACCCACTGGAGCCAAGTGGGGCCATGCTGTGCCGTTGCTCGGCCATGCAGTGGGGAGCCTGCTGGCCAACTCCTTTGAAGGGCACACACAAAAGCGGCTCGGGCTGGCAGGGCACAAGCCTGTTGTGTCCTCCTCAAGGCTATGTACACACTAGCAGCTTGAAACACGGAGAGGTTGGTTCTCCTTGCTGCAATTCGAGTCACATTCTTACGTTGCTGTATACACCAGAAAAGTGGGTGTGGATGTCTTCTCCTGATGCTCATTACTCAATTTATTTTCTTGCGCATGCAAACACACACACACACACACACACACACAGCTCCTATTCACCAGAGCTGTCGTCAAGAGTATGTGCAATGACTATCTGAAATGTACACATCTCAGCTTAACTGTGGCTTCTGTTTTCAAACCGGATGGAAGCTGGTTTGAGGGGGAACACATCAGACAGGAATATTTCTCAAGAAGCTACAAGATACCTATGGATTGTAGCTAATGTCATGTGCCCATGGCTTCAAACACCAGTGGTGGGAGCGCACTGGAGCCAGAGTAAACGGGAATGTGATGTTGTTGCTGGCATGCGTCGGTCTCCAGAGACAATGGAGTGCACTTTTGCGGGTGACATCAAACTGCCACAATAGCGGCACCGAAGCAACCTCCCTGGGGTGCAAATTTGGGCAGCATGTATGGCAGTCATGGGCTACCCAAACGACAAGACCCCTGACTCGGCCTTGCTGATGTGGTCCAAAGGAAAGCAGAGCAACATGGTTGATGTTAAGTTGTGGGTGAACATATCAGATGACACAGCGATTCTCCAAACAGCTCTTGTTTATTCACAGGTCAGAACGGAACTGAACTGAAGGGTTCAGCCAGCCTGCTTATATAGAGCTCCACTACAATGTAACTGTAACAACTTTCTGTAACTATCCAATCACTGAACGTCACTTTCGATCCCTTATTTGCATATGTGGAACTATCTACATTATCCCCCTGCTGGCCCAGGGTGAGAACTTCAGTACATAACAGTTGACATCTGCGTGGCTGCAGGAATTGCCGGAAGGAGGCTTACAAAGCGCCGTCCAACCATCTTAGGGACTCTGGTTTTGTGTAGGTTTACTCCTCATAGTTTTATTTCTCCTAGATATGCTACCTTTCCAAACTGATGAGCCCCATCTGCCCTTACAGCACATGCAAGCACTGCCTTCTTGACCATTGGACCCACTATTGGTCTCATTCACTGAATCCCCTGGAGCCTGCAGGGGAAATCCCTAACTCACTCAGGGTTTGAGACCCATCGGCTACTCTCATCTGATTAGCCGTTCCCAGGGTGTGCAGGGTGAACTGAGTGCAGGGTGGGGGACCAAATGTACGCAGCCAAAAATCCAGCTGGATTTGATTAGGATTTGATTTAATCAGGATTAGGCTATGTCATAGTGAACGGCCAACCTCTGGATTGGGGGAGGCTGTTTCAGAGTGTGCAATCAAATACAGTGGTACCTCGGGTTACATACGCTTCAGGTTACAGACTCCACTAACCCAGAAATAGTGCTTCAGGTTAAGAACTTTGCTTCAGGATGAGAACAGAAATCGTGCTCCAGCAGCACAGCAGCAGCAGGAGGCCCCATTAGATAAACCTGGTGCTTCAGGTTAAGAACAGTTTCAGGTTAAGAACAGACCTCCAGAATGAATTAAGTACTTAACCCGAGGTACCACTGTAAGACGCTCGCTTTTCTTTATTCAAAATATTTCTGAAATATACACTGGATGGTGGGAAGAACTACCAAAAAGCGTTAGTTCCTCAAACATCCGATCCGCAGCGTTACGCAATTTTGTGAGCCAGCCAAACTTTAGTCTGATTTCCAAAGGTCTCGGTCAGCAGGAAGCCATGAGAGAGAGAGAGAGGAAAAAATGATGTATGTCATAACTGGGATGTTGACACAGAGGAGGAAGAAAAAGAGGTAGAACCGTCGGCCAGGACTTTGGCTTACCAAGAGAGGGTAGGAGAAGAAATATTTCCCCCTCTCTCATAGCGGAGGGCTAAAGGCAGGATCACACAGAATATCGACAAAACAAGGAGCGAAAATCAAACGGTCTGAACTGAAGCGGAAAGCTTTCTGATCTTTACAGAGTCCTTCTAATAGGTAATATTTGCTTCTCATCTGGTTTTCTTTTTAAAGAAGAGTGTGAGTATATTTTCTATCAAATACAACACACACACACACACACACACACACACACAAATGCACATATAACATGGTTTGGTCATTTTAAGGGAAAATAGGATCAACTGAAGAAGGATTAGATGAATTAAGAAAAAACGAAAAGGAGATCTCTCTCATACCTTCCAACATTTCTCAGATGAAAATAAGGGGATTACAGCCTCTCAGCTGAATCTACCTCACCGGATTGTTGTAAAGAAAAAATGTGTGAGGGAGGGGATTATGTACAACACCTACAGATAAATGGAATGAAATAAAATCTGCAAGCTGCCTTGAGTCCCTGTCAGGGGAAAAGGTGGGGGTATAATAATAATAATAATAATAATAATAATAATAATAATAATAATAATAGAAACTGTGAGAATGATCAGGAACATGATCAGGAGAGTAAATCCTATTGAACTCAGTGGGACTTAGTTCTGAGTAAAAATACTTAGGTTTGCTGAACAGTCTTTACCCAGTTACCTGGGATAAACTCAATTGAATACAGTGGGACTTACTTCTGAGTAGACAGTCTTAAGGCTCCATTTACAATAAAGGAATAAACACTTTAGATGTTTCCTAAAAAATGGCTGGCTTCTGGTGCATTGCAGTTAAAGAAGTTAAAATGGATTTGTGACATTTTCCTTCAAAATTATAGGAAGGACTTTGAATGCCAGTTTAACCATTTCCTTCATTTGGTGCAGGTATTTTACTTTCAATATAAACAGGACTCTGTTTTTGCACCTACACACATACCACTTTTAATTGCTCTCGCAGACATGGAGGGGACGAAAATGGAACATTGAGACATTCTGAGATAAAATCAGAATCGGGACAGCTTCTGTAATTCCGGGACTGTCCCAAGAAAATCAGGACACTTGGAGGGTATACTAACCAACAAATATAGGCATTTGTTTTGATTATAGGTTATATAAAATAATGAACATTGTAAGAGAGGGGAAATAGCCTTACCTATTGTAGTAGATTGAATATTATATTAACCAGAGGGTTCTTAATTCTACTTGTGGGATATATTGAGCTTTAAAGAAATGTAATCTGAATCCTGAAATACTGTCCATCGGGAGAGGGGGTTAATTTATATTTACACTTCAATCAATATTACTTTTGTAATAAATCTGAAAGAGCTGGTCTGTTGAGGATCCTTTGATCCTATCCAGCTAAAGTTGTTAATGCTTAAGGTAATTGTGTGGTTAATAACTCGTTGGCTTCAATGGGGCTTGTTTTAAGCACAACTTATTTTTCATTGGCTTGCAGGGGCGCCGACTTATAAAAAATATTGGGGGGGCCCATACCGGGGTCCATACTGGCGGCAGGATGGCAGTGGTGCTTTTGCATGCAAGAACCGGCCTGCCCTCCCCAGGCTTCGCGCCGGGAGGCGGCCACCCCCTCCTACCAACGTCACCTTAGCCGAACCCAGAAAAAAAGCCCCGCTCCGGCGGCGGGAACTCCCGTCCCCTCCATTCTCCCCTCACCCCGGTCCCTCGCCGGTGACGAATACGCCGTTCCTCGGCCCCGCGGCTCCATTCCTTTCTAAAGTCCCGCCGCTGAGGGTCTTCCTCTGACTGACCGACCTGCCCGCCCCTTCTCAGGAGCTCCCGGTCACTTTGGGAGGCGCGCGCCGGAGTCCCCTGCGCGGTTTTTGGCAAGGTGCCTAATAATTTTCTTAAATTATTGGGGGGGCGGAGCCCCCCAAACGAATTTTTGAGGGGGCTCGGGCCCCCTCAGGCCCCATGGAGTCGGCGCCTATGTTGGCTTGGATGCAACATGGGGCAATAAGCTTGCTATTACATGTGACATAAACCATGATCTTTGGTTGCTAATGAAACACTACTGAACTCTTTCAGATTAGCCAACATGGGTTGGCAGCATATTGTTCCTGGAATAACCCTCTTGTTGGTCAAGCTTACAGGGACATCGCTGTTCCTTATTTTCAGTAAGTATTGGTCAGGCATTAGTTTCAAGGCTGCCTTTCTACTTTCATATTTATTTTCACTTGTCATATCCATCATTTTTATTGTATTCTGTATGTGCCAATGACAATGTCCCCTTAGTGCTGTGAAAAAGTTGAATAGGAGATTACTAGGAAAGGAATAAAAATGAAAGCTGCCAATATTATAATGCCTTTTAGCAAATCTGCGGTGAGCCCACACCCAGAATACTGTGTACAGTTCTGATCTTGACACCTCAAAAAGGTGTGGAAAGGGTCAGGGAACGCGATCAATAGGCTGGAACAAGCCCCCCATGAGGAAATGTTAAAGAGTGATGGACTTTTTACCTTGGGAAAAGGTAAAGGTGAGGGAGGCATCACAAAGGAAGTAGACAGGGAGAGTTTTTCCTCCCTCTCTCATAATACTGAAGCAGAGGGTGATCTACGGGAGCTGAATGGTGGGAAATTCAGAACAGTCAAAAGGAAGTCTTTCTTCATGCGGCGCATAGATAAAACCATGGAAATCGTTTTTTGCAAGATGCTATTATGGCCACAAACCTGGACGGCCTTAAAAGAGGTTTAGTCAGCTTCATGTAAGGTAAGGCTAGCAATGACTAAAAGGTATATGATGGTTGCTAGGGAACACAAGCGAGGAGTGTGCTATTGCACTCACATCATGCTTGGGGCTTCCAAAACTCATCTGGTCACTGTGAGAATGTAGGGCCATAGCAACCCCCCCCCCCAAGGCCTTTCTGAGAAAGGAGAAGTCTGTCAGGTGAACAAGGATGGCATTGATGGAACAGGCTCAAATGTTTATTATTGAAGGTTGTAAAGAGATAAGCAAACTCAGGAATGCACATGGCCGTGGTGATGTGGGAGATGGCAGGGAGGAGGGAGATTGCAGGAAGGAGGGAAACCAAGACCTTACATGGTAATAGGAACTTACTATAACTTTTGATTTCCCAGAAATCAGGTGGTTTACAAGAATTCAGGTGGTATTGTATTCTGCAAATGCATAAAAAGGGGGCGCACCCTGACTGGGTGGTGCAGATTACAAACTTATTGCTCTGTACCTTTGTCCTGCATATGCAAATAAATCCTGTTAAATCCTGCAAGGTTGGTTGCCATTTCGTGTGAATCTGTGCTCCGAGGACCCAATAGCAGATATGGAAAAGGTCCAACAAGAACAGGATGCTGGTCCAGATCGGCCTTTGTCCTGATCCTGCAAGCTGAGTGCTTCAAAGCGCCTTTGTACACATCCCTCAGTCATCCCTCAGAGCCATCAAGTGACCATTATTATCCCAATAGTGCAGATAAGGGGCTGACAGAAACAGAGGCTTGCCTAATAAGGCCATTAAGTGACTTATTGTCTGCTCTTAGTGCTTATGATGGACTTGCTGTCCTAGCCGACAAGGAAATATGACTGCGTGCATACTGAATTTTAGCAGCCATGTTAAGGAGTGCTCATCAGACAGACGCCATTCCAAATGTTCTTGTTTTCAGTTCCACAGATCTTCCCTAGGGGAAACTTCAGCTTCATTCCTGAGGAGAATTATACAGGTAACACTACAACAGTTGTCTGGGGAATCTCTGAGCTTAAATAAAGAAGGGTTTTGCAAACATTCTTGCTGAAAAATGCAATTCTTTTTTTCACCGTTTCCACAACACTCATCGATCGATGATGAAATAGTCCTGATTTGCTGTCACTCTTATTTGACTTTATTTGCAGTGAATCAGTAACGCGGTCACATATCCAACCTTGATTGACTACATAATGTTGTGATGTCACACTCTATGCGCACCCTAATTGGCAAGGCTCAGCCACAGTACTACATCAGAAAGCATTTTCCTCTTTTGAATATGGTGACATCCTAATGTTGCCAAATTTGATTTGCTACCAAATCTGAGACATCATTCTGTTCATGATGCAGTTCCTGACTGGCTGAAATAATCCATGTGACAGGAAGTAGAGAGAAGGACCAGTCAGTTTGGCGGCGGGGTGGGGGTGGGAAGTGATGCTGAAACAGTTACAGCCAATAGAAAAGAAATGGTTCTTCACATAGCTGTCAACTTTTCCCTTTTCTTGCGAGGAATCCTATTCAGAATAAGGGAATTTCCCTTTAAAAAAGGGAAATGTTGACAGCTATGGTTCTTCACCAAACAGGAAAGAATAAAAGGAGAATACTTATACAACGCGGGTTAAACCACAGAGCCTAGGACTTGCCGATCAGAAGGTCGGCGGTTCGAATCCCCGCGATGGGGTGAGCTCCCGTCGCTCGGTCCCTGCTCCTGCCCGAAACCATGTCAAAGTGCAAGTAGATAAATAGGTACCGCTCTAGCGGGAAGGTAAACGGCGTTTCTGTGTGCTGCTCTGGTTTGCCAGAAGCGGCTTAGTCATGCGGCCACATGACCTGGTGCAACCTCGCTGGCTCCCTCGGCCTTTAGAGCGAGATGAGCGCTGCAACCCCAGAGTCGGCCACGAATGGACCTACTGGTCAGGGGTCCCTTTACCTTTACTTATACAACAGAGAAGGAGAATCTCCAGTACACAGGCCAATCTAGGTTAGTCAGGAGTTCTAATTTGGCCCATGAGGCCATTTCCCCCCAGCCATGTCCGTCTGTCTCATATTATGACATCAAGTGTGGGTCAGGTAAAGCCATGGATGTGTGCATTTTGAACCTTTTTACATTTGGCACCAATGCAAGTCGTTCTGGAATTGGTTCCACTCAGGGGCGTAAAAGTAGTGCTGATCCCTGATGCAAGCAGGGTGTTATGTACTGAGTTGCATAGGATCCAAAAGGCAGCAGTCTGATTGGTCCTAGAACAATAGGATTCAGAATGCAGCAGTCTGATTGGTCCTAGAACAATAGGGTCCAGAATGCAGCAGTCTGATTGGTCCACAGGAGCCACCCAATCCAGCTCCAGGTGGAAGGGAATCCGCAACCTGATTGGCCTACAGGACAATCCCGGAATTAGCCAATCACGTGGGGCCCATTTTGTAAATAATGTATATAAGGCAGACATTCTGGGGGAACTTCCATTCCTCCTCACCACTATGAGCTGAATAAAGAGCATGAAATCCACTCTCGACTCTGAGTATATACCACAAGGTATAAAGATTAGGTGTTGACTGAAAGCTCTCTCTCTCTCTCTCTCTCTCTCTCTCTCTCTCTCTCTCTCTGCAGGGATCTTTGCAGCAATAGCTTGAAGTCATGATTCATTTAGGTTCTACAGTATTGAAATCAGTTTTTTAAAAATAGTTTGAAAAGTTAATCATGACATAAGTCAGGTTGATTTCAGTGGGAACTAATTACAATTATGTACCTTTTATATTTGACTTCACTCAATAATGCTTTCTTTTGAAATGTTTAAGATTTTTTTGTTAACTTTGCTCTGCTAAACGTGCATTCTGCAGTTGACCTCCTCTGTAGTTTTTTTTTTAAAAAAAACCGTTTAGGATAATTTTTTAGGTAAAAGTAAAGGGACCCCTGCCCATTAGGTCCAGTCACGGACGACTCTGGGGTTGCGGCGCTCATCTTGCTTTACTGGCCGGGTCATGTGGCCAGCATGACTAAGCCGCTTCTGGCGAACCAGAGCAGCACAATTTTTTAGTTTCCTGTTACTTATGTTTGAATGAATGTTAATTATATTTAAATGTATACTTTATATTTGACTTTCTTCAGTAAGATATTATTTTGAATTTTTTAATTTGCTGTTTTAATGTAGGTTGTAAACTGCTTTGAGACACCCCCCCCCAGTATAAAGCAGTATAGAAATGAAATGAAAAGTGAATAATTAACTCAGTCCAGATTGAATCCAAAGTACGGTACCTATCAAAATTTACCCCAAATCTAAATAGAAGAATACTACAGTTGTACAGCTTTTCAAAGTTGATTAATAGAGGCAAAAAATGTATTCGTTTTCAGAACTGCTGTCTACTCCGAACCTGCCTGAAGCAAGAGCTACAATTGCAACCACAGGTATCATTATCATTTGAATATTTGGAAACAGAAACCAGTAGTATGTATTATATTGTGCTGTAAAAAAAAAAGAAAAAAAAGAGGTGTTATGGATCTATTTTCTAGTCAGGAGAGAGCTTTTAATGCTTTTCATAATTAATTGTTTATTTTTAAATGTACAGATTGAGGAGATGGAAAACAGGCAGGCAGGCACACACAATAATAATCTTGAAGCTGCGTCATTCTGGTACCCTGAATGTTCTGGCAAGTCCCTGTAGGTGGTTCTTTTGTGGCACCAGTAACATGAAAATCCACATCTCTGGGAATAGTAGTAACTGCACAAGCTTTACACTACACAGGCGTCGAGGGAGGCGGGTGGCGCTGTGCGTAAAAACCTCAGCGCCTAGGACTTGCCGATCGCATGGTCGGCGGTTCGAATCCCCATGACGGGGTGAGTTCCTGTCGTTCGGTCCCAGCGCCTGCCAACCTAGCAGTTCGAAAGCACCCCCGGGGTGCAAGTAGATAAATAGGGACCGCTTACTGGCGGGAAGGTAAACGGCGCTCCGTGTGCTGCGCTGGCTCACCAGATGCAGCTTGTCACGCTGGCCACGTGACCCGGAAGTGTCTGCGGACAGCGCTGGGCCCCGGCCTCTAGAGTGAGATGAGTGCACAACCCTAGAGTCTGTCAAGACTGGCCCGTACGGGCAGGGGTACCTTTACCTTTACCCTACACAAGCTTTAGAAGACATCTGAAGGCAGCCCTGCATAGGGAAGTTTTAAAAAAGTGTTTTATTATGATTTTGTATATGCTGGAAGCTACTATGGTTTAAAGTGAGACGATACTGCTTTAATTGTATGATGTGGATGTGGTTTAATTATGAACATGCAGAGGTTGCGAGTGGTTCCAGGGAACACAGATGTAATAGGGACAACAACAACAACAACAACAACAGCTTTATTATTTATACTCTGCCCATCTGGCTGGGTTTCCCCAGACACTCTGGGCAGCTTCCAACAAAAGATTAAAAGTACATTAAAATACCAGTCATTAAAAACTTCCCTAAACAGGACTGCCTTCAGATGGGACTCCTCGCTAATACATGTTCAGTGAACATACTGGGGGGCAGAAAGCAAAGGAACACAGTTCTTTGGCAGTTAGATAAATATGTAACTAAGCCAATACAGTAGTGCCCCGCAAGACGAACGCCTCGCAAGACAAAAAACTCGCTAGACGAAAGGTTTTTTCGTCCGCGATTTGCCTCGCAAGACGAATTCCCCTATGGGCTTGCTTCGCAAAACGAAGCTTGCCCCGGGGACAGCGGGTCTTCTCTTTTGAAGCAAGGGGCTGCGGGGAGATAGCGATCTCCCTGCAGCCCCTTGCTGCAAAAGACGTCCGGGGGAAGCGGGGAAGCGAAGCGCTTCGCTTCCCCGCTTCCCCCGGACCTCTTCTGAAGCAAGGGGCTGGGGGGAGATAGCAATCTCCCTGCAGCCCCTTGCTGCAAAAGACGTCGGGGGAAGCGGGGAAGCGAAGCGCTTCGCTTCCCCGCTTCCCCCGGACCTCTTCTGAAGCAAGGGGATGGGGGGAGATAGCGATCTCCCTGCAGCCCCTTGCTGCAAAAGACGTCGGGGGAAGCGGGGAAGCGAAGCGCTTCGCTTCCCCGCTTCCCCCGGACCTCTTCTGAAGCAAGGGGCTCTCCCCCCAGCCCCTTGCTTCAGAAGAGGTCCGGGGGAAGCGGGAAGCGAAGCGCTTCGCTTCCCCGCTTCCCCCTGACGTCTTTTGCAGCTGTTCCGAAGTGGGGCGGGGGGGCGGGGTCACCTGCCCCAGCCGCCCCACTTCGGAAAGCTGTTCCGAAGCGGGGAGGGGGGGCGGGGACATCTGCCCCAGCCGCCCCACTTCGGAAAGCTGTTCCAGGAACAGCTCCATAGGAACCTCCATAGGCGCCCGTCACCTCTCCAGCCGGGAGAGCGCGCGCGGGGCTACACCAGCCCCCCGCGACCCTCTCCCAGCTGGAGAAGTGACGCGCGCCTATGGCAGGAGCCTCCATAGGCGCCCGTCACCTCTCCAGCCGGGAGAGCGCGCGCGGGGCTAAACCAGCCCCCCGCGACCCTCTCCCAGCTGGAGAAGTGACGCGCGCCTATGGCAGGAGCCTCCATAGGCGCCCGTCACCTCTCCAGCCGGGAGAGCGCGCGCGGGGCTAAACCAGCCCCCCGCGACCCTCTCCCAGCTGGAGAAGTGACGCGCGCCTATGGCAGGAGCCTCCATAGGCGCCCGTCACCTCTCCAGCCAGGAGAGCGCGCGCGGGGCTAAACCAGCCCCCCGCGACCCTCTCCCAGCTGGAGTTGTGACGCGCGCATATGGCAGGAACCTCCATAGGCGCCCGTCACCTCTCCAGCCGGGAGAGCGCGCGCGGGGCTAAAGAAACCATAGCCCCGCGACCCTCTCCCAGCTGGAGAAGTGACGCGTGACTATGGCAGCAGCCTCTGAAGGATGCACCGAAGCCTGGCGTGGGGGGGGGGGCGGAGAGACCTTCTCCCCGCGCCAGCCTTCGGATGGCTGTCCTGAAGACTTGGGGTGGGAGAAGGGTTTTCCTTCCCACCGCCAACATTCAGAATGCTGTTCTGAATGTTGGCGGTGGGGAGGAAAAACCCTCCTCCCACGCAAGCCCCGGGAACAGAGGGAAAGCGCTGCGCGCCTTCCCCTCTGTTCCCGTACCTGTGCTGAAGGCTTGGGGTGGGGAGAAAAGCCCTTCTCCGCACCGCCAGCCTGGCAAGCGGTTTCCCTAGGAACGCATTAATTGATTTTCAATGCATTCCTATGGGAAACCGTGCTTCGCAAGACGAAAAATTCGCTAGACGACAAAAATTGCGGAACGAATTAATTTCGTCTTGCGGGGCACCACTGTACTCCTAAACTACACTGCCTTTTTTCAATTTAACCTTCCATATATCCAGCTGGAGGCCTAAGAACCTTGTTGTAGATCTTCTCTCCGTCCACTCATGGAAGGAAGAGGGACATACTGTACACAAATTTGCCCCTCCTGCCCCTCAGTGGAGGCATGCATGCAGTTTCAGCAAGATCAAGAATGCCCAGCTAGGGTCTAGGAAAGCAGCACGCAGGCACCTAAGATGGCATTTGAATGGGGCCAAAGTCCTCTCTGGTGGTGACAGTTTGTGAGTCACCATTCCCTTCTAGAGTTGGAATTTTCATTCTTAATATTGAGTTCTTGATGTGTTCATCTTCCTTTATCATGCTGCAGTCCAGATTCCTCAGAAGCCTCCTACATGGGAAAGACACAGAGGGAGTGAATTTTGGTTTACGGAAACCAAGGAGGTTTGGTTGCACTGCCGAGTCGATTGCATGCAATGGAGCTCCGACCTAGCGATCATCAGTGATAGAAATGAACTGGTAAGATTGGGCCCACTTTGATGAGAAAAAAACGTGCCACTGGAGTTAAATTTCTTTCACCAGGGATAAGGAGGGTTGAGAACATCTTGCACAGAATTCACACCATACCTGTAAAGCACATCCAAGTCACATTTAAAGTACATGAATTTTCCCGAAGAATCATGGGAATTGTAGTTTGTTAAGTGTCCTGGGAACAACCTTTAAGACAATCTTCAGCAGCGTGGTGGCCTCCAGATGCTTTCTGCTGGCTGGAGTTGTAGCCAAAAGCATCTGGAAGCTACTAGAGTGACGAAAAGTGTGGTATCGTTTTCATGTGGTCTGAATGCATCATTGTCCTTGAAGGCACAAATAGATTCTTCTGCCTTAGTGGGAGCTGGCAAATAGCATCCTTTTCATCTGGCTGTCCTTGCCAGTTGTGATTTCCTCTGCCCTGATTTTCCTCATTCATTCATTCTTCTCTTGACAGGAGTTTATTCAGAATAAAACTGCAATGGGTTCCTATTTCATTGGACTGACGTATACAGTGGCTCAAAACAAATGGCTATGGATCGACGGCACAGAACTCAAGAATAACCTGTATGTGTGATATTCTCTTTCACCCTTCTTATGGTGTGTGGGTTACATCCTCCATGGGGCATCTCCAGGGCCACTCACTGGCCCTGTTTCTGGAAAGCTCTCTGTTGTATAAAGGTAAAGGGACCCCTGACCATTAGGTCCAGTCGTGACTGACTCTGGGGTTGCGGCGGTCATCTCGCTTTATTGGCCGAGGGAGCTGGCGTACAGCTTCTGGGTCATGTGGCCAGCATGACTAAGCCGCTTCTGGCGAACCAGAGCAGCGCACGGAAACGCCGTTTACCTTCCCGCCGGAGCGGTACCTATTTATCTACTTGCATTTTGATGTGCTTTTGAACTGCTAGGTTGGCAGGACCAGGGACCGAGCAACGGGAGCTCACCCTGTCTCGGGGATTAAAACTGCCGACCTTCTGATTGGCAAGTCCTAGGCTCAGTGGTTTAACCCACAGCACCACCCGCGTCCCTCTCTGTTGTATATAGTACTGGAATACCTTCAGATAAGATGATGCTCAGGATGACTTGATGCCAAAAAGGGTATCCTGCATACTGAGTTGTTGTCAAGAAGTGGTAATTTCAGCAAACTCAACTTTTCTCATGTCTGCATGGCAAGCTGCATCTGCCAGAATGCCCTCTTCTGCATTACTCCTGAAGATATATTCTTCAACATCTCACAGATGAAAACAAGGACACTGCCGTAACATCTCTAGGCTCAGTTCACATGTAATGCTAAGTCCCAACAGGGCTTCCTCCCAAGGTGAGAGGAAGTGACCTAGGTGTAGTCTGGCAGGACAGCTTACTCTTTGGAATTAACCCCTTCATGCATTTAGACTTAAGCATATTGGTTATATGAAGCCAGTTACCCCACAAGGTCCTGCTTCGAAAAAGACAAACCATGTGACAGAGTCTGGATCATATACTAATCCAAATGATGGGTTAGCCCACAGCAGTGCCCACACGCTTGTGCAATTGTGCTAAGTCATACTTTGGTTTAACGTTACATATGCGGTAAATCGGGTCCTAGTGTCACACCAAGAATCTCTGCCAGAATCCCTCCCCTGTTATCAATCATGGCTGAATTCCGCTCGCCATATGCTGCATTCATTCCCTCTTCCAATCAGTAGTTCGAATCCGTGTTATGGGGTGAGCTCCTGTTGCTCTATTCTAGCTTTTCCCAACCTAGCAGTTCGAAAGCACGCCAGTGCAAGTAGATAAATAGGTACCACTGTGGCGGGAAGGTAAACGGCGTTTCAGTGTACTCTGGCTTCCATCACGGTGTCCTGTTGCACCAGAAGCAGTTTAGTTGTGACCCACATGACCCAGAAAGCTGTCTGTGGACAAACGCTAATTCCCTCGGCCTGAAAGCAAGATGAGCAATAGTCGCCTTTGACTGGACTTAACCATCCAGGGGTTGTTTACCTATTTTACCTATCGTTCCCTATGACACATCCTGTACTGCACAGGTTTAAAAACTGTGTGTTTCTTCCTTTGCTTAGTGATCAGAACACAAGTGTTTTCTAGTATCTTGTTCCTTGTCTGCACAGTTTATTAAATTATGGTTTGTTTGATTGTCTGGACCTTGTCTGGTGGCTTCACTAATTTGCTGCCATCAAAGCCATGGTTTCGTTGGTGGCTTATTCAAATTGGTTTAACTATAAGGAGGCTATTGGTTAGTCAGTTTTCTCAGAAAAGTGAAACTGAAAGCAACTTACAACCTCGCATCATGTTGCAGGTTGGGGGTGAAGGTGGGACCTGAGTCTGAAAAAGCTGAGGACAACACCCCCAGGGAGTTTTTAGACGTTCCTAGGGAGTTTTGAAGCTGAGGGAGTTAACAAGCTGGCCAATAAGGCCCCTCTTGTCCATTTACTAGTGCCATCTGGTTCCCCTAAGTACTAGCCTGAGAAGCAAAATGAGCATGGAGGAGCAACACTGGGAATTGGCCATTTTGGGTGGGCAATGTCTGGGACTTTGATCCACACAACCCCTTCCTCTGCTTCTCCGTCAAAGTTAGGCTTCTCAGGAAAGGAGTTGCTGATCAGGGCCTTAGCCAATGATCAGCCATTATACTTAGGTGTAGCAAACACGGTCAACTTCACAGTTTTGCTGCACTCTGTTTTTACAGCTTTGCAATGAGACCCAAAGCGGCGGACGATGAATGTGCAACTCTTGCAGCAGGAGAACTGAAACCAGTGTCATGTCACCAAGAACACCACTGTATCTGTGAGAAGAATCCTAAGTAGTTCATCTGAAACAGCACCATGCAGTGACGTAACAAGGAAGAAGACAGAACCATGGACTTTTATTCTGGGACATTCTCAGCTCTATCTGGGGGAGCCTTCTCCATGCAGAGAAGATGCTCTAACCCTTCCCTCAGGTTGGACTTCAAAGCAATGAATGGAAATGTTATGTACTGAAGTTCTCACCCTGGGCCAGCCGGGGGATACTGTAGATAGTTATGCAAATAAGGGATCGAAAGTGACGTTCAGTGATTGGATAGTTTTAGAAAATTGTTACAGTTACATTGTACTGGAGCTCTATATAAGCAGTCTGACTGAACCCTTCAGTTCAGTTCTGTCCTGGCCTGTGAATAAACAAGAGCTGCATGAAGAATCGCTGTGTCGTCTGATATGTTCACCCACAACATAACAGGAAAAGCATTATAATTTCCTAATAAGTAAAACGTCTTTAAACCTGTCTCCAAGTCCACACACTGATGTGTGCTTTTCTATTTTACAATTTTGAACTGATAATGTCAGAAATGTGTAAGCAGAATAAGAATGATTATTTTGACTCTTAGAGGCTTTGGCCTAGTGTTGCGTGCTCTGCAATTCTTTTGGGCCATGAAAACTCCCAAGAGTCCAGCATAGGCCTAGCTTTTCTTTCTTTTGGAATGAGGCAACTGGTGGTTTATTAAGCCTTTTGTGTGATATATGGTTTATTTAAACATAGATACAGGTTGGGCATAGATAGCAGGTTCACAGTTTCTGAGGAATGTTGGAGGGCATGTCAGAATTAAACCCTGCCGCCTCATCCGTTTTCTAGTGGTGGGAGACACAAGCGCCGTTAAAATCTCACGTGAAAGGTGAGCTCCCTGTGCCTCTCTTCAATCCATCTGAAACCCAACAACTTGATGACATCCCCAGTGGTGTGCAGTGAAATTTTTCGTAGGGGAACAGTTGGGCCAGAGGTGAGGGAAATCATGCCTTCCTCCCTAAGCTAGGCAGAAGCTTCTTGGGCTTTGGGAAGGCGGCACCAGGGGAACATTTAGGGGACTAGCCTCTGGAAGAGGGAAGAATGACAAGCACTCTTGCAGGAAAAGATTTCCAAAGATGCCTGGGTTTCAGTTCCTTAAATGAAAACATAATGGCATTCCACCCACACCCCTAATTGCAGCTAGATAACGCAGGAAAAACACTGGGGGCACAGGAAAGCAACACACAATGTTTAAAGATTATTATTGTATTAAAAAGGGGTGATTTGTTTATTTAGAATGTATATGTATATGTACATACATATACATATATATGTATATCTATCTATATCTATATCTATATCTATATCTATATCTATATCTATATCTATATCTATATCTATATCTATATCTATATCTATATCTATCTAATCTATATCTATATCTATATATCTATATCTATATCTATATCTATATCTATATCTATATCTATATCTATATCTATATCTATATCTATATCTATATCTATATCTATATCTATATCTATCTATCTCTATATATATTAATCAGAAAAATCTCCAAGCGATGTACATGATAAAATAATTATCAATAAAACATAGATAAAATCGGCAACACTTTTTTTATTTAACCATATATACATTATTTGTTTATTTTGCTCTGGCCTACATGCATTGCTGTACAGTACTGCATGTGTGTGAAAAGTCATGTATTTCAGCTCTGGGTAGCAAAGCATAGACAGATTTGCAAATTTGTGTGTGTGTGACAAATTCCCGAGGGGCCATCCAGTTAGGTTCCAATAATAGATTGTAATGGATTGCTTTGAAGTCATTTCAGCATCAGGTGGAAATGAAAATCTCCCCAACATCCATCTTGCTCCTGCTTTCATGCCGCTATCCTGTCCTGTATTTCGCCAGAACAAAGATGGCAACCCTATTCATGATGGAGAATCTCGTGTCTTATTTTAAGAGGTTATGACGTCAACCGTTATAATGCCGTGATCTACAGAGATAAACCTAATTGACACCCCCCCCCCCTGTTCTCACTAATTGTTCCTACCAAGCTGTACTGGTTCTACCACTAGCTAGAGTGAGAGTTTGGGTGTTATGAAAGGGTAGCAAACGGTTAGCTATTTACTTTACTATGATTGCATTTCTTACTGCCAGGCAAGGGGAGATGTGCTAGTAGGATTTTCTGCCTCAGGTGCTTCGGAATTTACAGTGCATTTCTAGACATGTCTAATTTCTATTAAATTGAATGGGGCTTATTCCCAATTCCCAAGCCTTCACAATTTTTTTTTTTGTGGGGGAGGGGGAAGAGTGTATCTGTATTATGTGCACTAGCACCTTGTCTTTAGTGTGCATGAATGTAAATATATTAGTCTTGTCACTTAAGCTGCAATTCTGTACACACTTATCTTAAAGTCAGACCCTCTCAGTTCTTCTTTCTAAGTAGACATATATAGGTATGCACAGCCTGCCAATTGTCCAGGTCACACGCTGCAGCTGGTCAGGTTCACTTTAAATTCTTATTTATATTGTTGTTTCCCACTGAATCTTTCATTTATCCAGAAGGCCCAATTTCCTGTTTGCTTTTGAATCCTGGGCCCAGACTGTAGGGATGTAAAAAGGCACTGATTTTGTTCCGCTTCATATTTGTCATATGCAGTGCTGTTTCCATTGCACAGCAATTCAGTTTCCAACAAAAATGAGGCTATTTGCCTTGCTGTCAGCTAGGGCGAAATCTGGCGTCATTCATTATCTTGTCATTACATTATCCCACGCCATGAAGCTCTGGAGCCAAGTGAGGATTCCCAGGTAAGTTCCTCCCTCTATTGTGTGGGCAAGTAGTCCCTCCCCTACCTGGCCTGGTCTCCTTGGCAACGCTTCCCCCAGGTGGGATTGGACAACTGACTGAGGTAGGCGTAAACCTCCAGGTGTCCCACCTGGGGGAAGGCGAAACCCAGCCTGTGTTGATGGAGCCACTCCAGATCCAGGGGCTGCGCGCGTCTATGCAAAGGGTGCTCCCCCGTTTTATGCAGGGAGCGGTCATTATCTTGTCATTACATTATCCCATGCCATTCATTACAATGCAAAGGAGAGGCAAAGAAAATCCAGGGGAAAGAAGTGTCTGGTTATGTATTGTCATATATCATTTATGGACCAAAAACAACACCAGCAAATACAGGTCATATTTGCTGAAGTGATTTTCATTTCCCGCTCCTGTTTCCATTTCCATTGGATTTCTCCGACATCTCTACCAGACAATGACTTAAGGGCGCTTCCAGATGGAGCTGTTCATTCGCACAAAATTTGGTGGTCGTCCTTCACTTTCTGGTGCAATTAGCCCATTGCTTTTCTAAGTGCAATTTGTCCAATAAGAAAAATGAAAGAAAGTTGCACCGGAATGTGCAGGTTAATGACCAGTGGTCAACGACATTGTATGCAGAACATCGAGCTGGTGATTGCTCGACGAACAGGTGATGTCATATCACCTCCCTGTGAGTTTTGTGCAAAAATATAAGCCGGAATCCACAAGAAACAGCCGATCTGGAAGTTCCCTAAGCTGACGCTTTGCCGCCAGCACAAAACACTAGCGTGCTTTTTTCCCTTCTGCAACCACAATCCTCAGACTGCTTATCCAAGCAGTGTGCATTGTTGGAGATGCTTTAATTAGCACAACCGGAGATTCGGCAGTCATTGACACGCAAACACATGCCAAGCACACAGAAGAGAAAGCAGAACTGCCCCTGCCACTCCATCTCTGCGTGTTTGGCGGAGGGTTTGTCTGCGCAGGGATGGGGGCTGATGGATGTTCCAACGCGAGGGCCAGGGCCAGAGGGGTACATTCCCACTCACCCCTCCATGTGTTTGATATGCATGTCAGGAGTATGTTTCCATGGTCCTCAGATGTGTTGATTTCAGGTGAATTAGTGATACACTGCTCCCTTAAGGACATCTGCTCTTGAGATCAACGCCCCCACTGTTTTCCACCAGTGGTTCCCAGGGAGGGTGGCATAGCTGTCAACTTATAGATTTGAAAATAAGGGACCAGCAGCCTCAAAAATAAGGGATCAGCAGCCAAAATAAGGGATTTTAGTCAACCAACTGAAATACGAAGTTAAAAGGGACCAGATAATTTTGGAGAGCAGTGCCGGTTTTTAGCCCTTCGTTTCCAGAGGTTGCTGCTCAAGACACCAGCCGATGAAACACTGCAATTAAATAACTACAAGCAGCAACCACTTTTTGCGCAAAACGAAGTCCAAGCTAAGAAGATGCTGCTGCAGTTCTGTATCTTTTTTCTCGTGCTCCATCTGCAGCTTTCAGTTCCATCAGGCGGGGCGGGAGGAAGGGGGGGGGAATAGCGCCCGAAGTAAACCCACAGATCAGACCATCTATGCTAGTCTACTACTAAAAATCTATGGGAGAAGCGCTTGCGGTCCTTCCTCCGCTTTCCCCCTCTATGGTTAGCCCTTGGAACACCTGCCCGCGCCTCCGCCTCCACCTCCTCTCTCTGAACTGCTTTTTCTATGGTTGCCCTTGCTCTCCTCTCAAGGCTCCTCAGCAATTCATAGGCCGTACCAGGCTGCCCATCAGCTGCAGTATGACCTAGTGGGGGCGGCGGCGGCAGGCAGAGGGGAGGTCCCAGGCAGAGACGCTCAGTTTGGTGGCCATGAGAAGGATGGTGGCGGAAGGGCCCGAGGCTCTCACCAGTCCCAGCAGGAAGGGGCTCCCGGGGGCTGAGGCTGGTGAGAGGAGGCCGGAGGGGGGTGGGCCGAGCAGCCAAGCAACACAGTTGGAGCCTCCCTCCTCCCTAGCCGGCAGGGAGGGAGGGAGAGGAGCTGCTTCCTTTGAAACCCGGGAAATTTAAGGGACATCATCAATAAGGGACAGCAGCAGGACACAGCGCTGGGATAAGGGACTGTCCCACCAAATAAGGGACGGTTGACAGCTATGGAGGGTGGCCACAATTTAAAATTCAACAATAAAAAGAGTTAAAAGAAATTTCAGCCACATGGATAGGATGTTTCTTGTGTGATCAAGACTTCTTTGATATTAATTTCTTAAGTACTGGGGGTTAGGCAGAAGGAGATGGACTCCTATGTCCTGTTTAGAAAACGGAAATTTGTCAAGTCTAGCTTGTAATGAAGAGCTGAGTCCATTAAAGGTTGAGTCAGTTTGGGGAAGGGCTGCAGAACATGTTTTGCAGGCGGAGGGTACCAGGGTCAATCCCTAATGTCTCCAAGTTTGGCTGGAAAGGTCCTCTCTCTGAAACCCTTGAAAGCCACGGCCAATCAGTGAAGACAACACTGAGCTAGCTGGACCAATGGCTTGACTCCATATAACACAGCTTCCTAAAGGCCAAAGCCATGTTTCCTCTTTTGCCTCTGATCTCCCTCATTCCAATATAGATAAGAGGCTGAATAAACCAACGATTTATTCTAGCAAGGCCAACCAGCATGGAAAAAATGTGTACGTAGAAAACAACAACAACAACAACAACAACAATAATAATTTATTACTTGTACCCTGCCCATCTTACAGGGTTGCCCCAGCCACTGTGGGAAGCTTCCAACAGAATATAAAAAAACACAGCAAAACATCAAACGTTAAAAACTTCCCAATACAGTGTTGCCTTCAAGACATCAAACATTAAAAACTTCAGGTGTCTACAGTCATATAATTGTTTAACTTTTCAGATGCAAGTTGCATTACAATAATTAGCGTGTTTTGCTAACCCAGCAAGCTGTTATTTGGTAATCTTCCAAAACAGCAGCGGGTTTTGGACAAATGAAGGACTCCCCCTCCAACAGAAGAAGAAAATGTTCTGTCTTGAAATATAGGAAGTCCTGCGTTGAGCGGTTAGGAGAAGTGGATATTGAGGTTTTATTGCATGACTGGTCTCAGGAAAGGGATGTTCTCTAAACTCCCTGAACCCTCTTTTCTGAGTAGAAGAAAGTGTCTTTCACATGTGGCAAGGCAAGAGAGATCATCTGACCAACAAGCAACAGGGGGAATTGTTTGAGCCTCCAGTGCGGCAAGAAAGGGAAGGAAGATCAAAAGACACAAGCAGATTTACACACTCGCGGCTCATTTATGTCAGTGCAGAAGTGCAACTGGAAGTATACTGTCTGTGCATAAGACAAGCTTTTTTCCATTTAAAATTAGGTTAAAAATTGGGGGTCATATTATACATGGAGAGTGCATAGGGGGGACATGGGATTGGCTGCTGCTGTGAGCCGGAGATTGTCAGCGGCTATTGGGCGTGCTATTGGTGGCTGTGGCAAGGGCTGGTGTTGATTGGCTGTCGCTGTGGCAATTGGGCGGGCAATTGGCAGCTTCTGCTGGCGAGGGGACAGATGATCTCCCCCCCATTTTCTTAATTTGGAGTCCCTCAAAATAAGGGGCGTCTTAGACACGGGGGCATCTTATACACGGAAAAATATGGTATTTGCAGTGTTTATTGGGCCACTCATATATTTGGCTGGATAAAAGTCTTCACGTGTGACAGAACACGCTTCCCTTTCCAGGGTTATGCGTAACAAGAGCTGAATCAGGTCCAAAGTTCCTTAGCAGAGTGAAGAGTCTTAATTCCACATTGGCTGAGAATCTCCCATACAGAGGAGAGCTCCTATGCCTTCTCCTCACAAATCCAGCGGTTTACTACGGAGCAAGGTGCTGAAGTGACTAGGTGTAATCCAAGCACAGCACAGTCATAAATTCTACTTCTGATATTCAATCTGTGAAGGGAAGAGAAGTGAAAATTAGCAGGTTCAGTCAGTAGAGCATGTGGCTCTGAATCTCAGGGCTGTGGGTTCAAGTCCCAAGCTGGGCAAAAGATTCCTTCATTGCAGGGTTTTCGACTAGATGACCCTCGTGGTCTCTTCCATCTCTATGATTCTATGATTCTATACTTCTACAAGTTGTTAGCCTCAGCCGCCGCTTGGGAGACTGCAGCACTCCTGTCTGCGTGATAATTTTCAATGTCACCCTGCACAGAACTTGCTGAGCCAAGGAAGGCAGGACAGCTGATGGCAGATCAACATGGCTGGGGTATAAATATGTTTTTTGTTTTTAAATGTGGGGCCTTTTGCTATCCCTGGTCCCACCTAGGTGCCAGGATTTTGGAAGCCCAAAACTGCTAGCTTTAATACTGTGCTCTACAGCACCTGTATCCTATTGTGTCTGAACAAAAATTGTCACCACCTGCAGGGCCGGCACACTCATGAGGCAAGTTGGTGGCGACTGCCTCAGGCGGCAGGACCCACAGGGGCAGCGGATCTCAATAGAGATCTTTTATTTCTCGCTTGTTCCTGATGCAGATCTTCACTCACCCCTTCTTCCCGGGTGAGGAGGGGAGACACCATTTTGTGGTTTGCCTCAGGTGCCAAAATGTCTTGGGCCGGCCCTGATGAACACTGGCCGCAATATCGTTTGCACGGACAGGATGTGTTCAATAGATGCCCCCAGCATCTCTCCCAAATGCCTAAGTGGACATGCTACTTAGAAGGGCTCATTACAGTGGTACCTCGGGTTACGAATTTAACTCGTTCCGGAGGTCTGTTCTTAACCCGAAACCGTTCTTAACCTGAGGCGCGCTTTCACTAATGGGGCCTCCCACTGCTGTCACGCGATTTCCGTTCTCATCCTGGGGCAAAGTTTGCAAACCGGAGCAACTACTTCCGGGTTAGCGGAGTTTGTAATCTGAAGCATTTGTAACCTGAAGTGTTTGTAACCCGAGGTACCACTGTATACTATTAGCACTCTGAAGAATGGGCATGATCCTTTCCCTGTTGCATACACACATATGGACAGGATCCCCAGAGACGACATTATGAGACCTATCTTCCACTCTGCCATTTTTTAAAAAAGCTGACCGTCTCTTGTGCTTCATCGTAATCCTTGTAACAGCCACATAAGGTGGGTGAGTGTTACGGTCCATATGTTGCAACAGTGGTACCTCGGTTCTCGAACGTCTCTGTTGATGAACGTTTTGCAACCTTAACACCAAAAACCCAGAAGTAGATGCTTCCATTTTCGAATGCGTCTCCTAAGTCGAATGGCTTCAACTGCATTTCCCCCCAATTTTCTCAATTCCATTTGCAGACAGCCCTTTGCGCTTCAGTTTTCTAACATTTCAGAACTTGAACGTTCTTCCGGAATGGATTACGTTGGAGAACGGAGGTATAAGGGGGAAAGAAAGCTGAGTAACAGAGGCTTTCCTCCCCATCACTTTGTGACAAATAACAAATGACCAGAATGATAATAAACATACATGTCAGGGTCATACGCTCTGTTGTCAATCCATCTCCACAATCCTTTGGAACCTTGCTGTGTTAAGCCAATGAAATACTCAAAATGGTTTGTTCTGTTGAACAGGAACATCTGGATAGGAGGCATTTGCAGAATAAGTAAGAAAAAACACAGTGAAATCCAAGAGCTCTGATATGGGAATGCAATGCAGTAATGGGGGGGGGGGGTAGGGCGGTGGTGGTTCTTGTCTTTAGCAAGGATGACTTCTAGTTTCCCTTGGGCAAGCAGCATAGTGTGGTTTTCCACAAGCCACATCCACACCTAGACCCTCCAAGTGTCCCTATTTTTCAGGGACAGTCCCAGATTTACAGAAGCCGTCCCAGTTTCTGATTTGAACCCAGAATGTCCTGCTTTTTATTGGAGAAATGTCGGAGGGTATGGAGTTATCTGATCCCCTGAGCCATCTGAAGGCAGCCTTGTATAAGGAAGGTTTTTAAAAAAAAGTTTAATGTTTTATTAGGTTTTTATATATCTTAGAAGCAGCCCAGAGTGGCTGGAGCATCCCAGTCAGATGAGCGGGGTTTCAAATAGTAAAATTAATATTATGGAATAGGATGTCCCTATTTTCACTGGGAAAAGGTTGGACTGTATGCACACCACACATTTAAAGCACCATGATACCACTTTAAACAGTCGTGGCTTTCCTCAAAGAATTCTGGGAGCTGTAGTTTCTTAAAGGTGCTGAGTGTTGTTAAAGGTAAAGGGACCCCTGACCATTAAGTCCAGTCGCGGATGACTCTGGGGTTGCAGTGCTCATCTCGTTTTACTAGCTGAGGGAGCTGGCGTTTTCCAGGTCATGTGGCCAGCCTGACTAAGCCGCTTCTGGCGAACCAGAGCAGCGCACGAAAACGCCGTTTAGCTTCCTGCCGGAGCGGTACCTATTTATCTACTTGCACTTGACATGCTTTCAAACTGCTAGGTTGGTAGTAGCTGGGACCGAGCAACGGGAGCTCACCCCGTCGCGGGGATTTCAACCGCCAACCTTCTGATTGGCAAGCCCTAGGCTCTGTGGTTTAGACCACGGCACCACTGAGTGTTGTTAGGAGACCCCCTGTGGGTTAAACTATGCCGGCCAATAAAGCGAGATGAGCGCCGCAACCCTAGAGTCGGCCACAACTGGACCTAGTGGTCAGGGGTCCCTTTACCTTTACCTATTCCCCATTCTAAGCCTGGTTTAACAGCCAAACCCTTTTTCTTCACAGGGAACGCCTTTAAAAACAAATCTAAACTATTCATGCCATTCATGCTAGTTGTGCAAATGGTACCATGTCTTGTCTATCCCTGAAAAGTTAGCAACTGTGCACTACTTTACGAAAGCAGGCTGATAATGGGATCAGTATTTCACAGAACACCATGCTTATTTTTTTGTTGCTTTGCAAAACAGTCCTGTCTTCTCACCAATTCTGCTTTGTTGTTGACAACAGCAAGATAAGCATTTGATTGAGCGCAGTCCTCCTGGCTGTCATTCCATGTTTTTTCTTCGGCAGAAAAGAAGTAGCATTTGCCAGCATAAAGTACCCATCTTATGGGGCAGCCTGTAGAAGTTAGGAGAAACAGGAGACGACTGGATTTAATATATACAAAGGAGCAGAAATTCCCATTTCCCCCATGAGCTGTTTTTATTACATACCATCTTTTACTCCTGATGGGGTGAGAATGGGGTCTCCTTGGAAGAAGATCTGTGAAGCTGAATGAAAAAGACTCATAAGAACCTGTGAACCCAGCACATTTATTACCCGAACTGAGGGAGTCAACTACGTTAGTCAAAAAAACAACGTTTTAAATGCAACACCAGATGGCACTGTAGAGCACAAAACATTTCTATGAGATTTTACATACCGTTTTTTCTTTTATACGATTTAATTTATGACTTATTTATAGCGTTTTTTTCTGCTGTGTGTAGATCAACCCAAGGATGTTTCAGAGCAGTACATTTCAGATTTTCTGCTTTAAGTGAATGCTTTCCACCTTGGCCAAAGAACCCCTACAAGTTACAGAGGATGATGGGACATCCTTTAGGGCAAACACTCAGTCATCCAAGGGACTTTCAGGCAACACACCATACATTTAAAGCACATGTCTACCCTCAAAGCTGAGGCTCCAGTACTTTGGCCACCTCATGAGAAGAGAAGACTCCCTGGAAAAGACGCTGATGTTGGGAAAGATGGAGGGCACAAGGAGAAGGGGACGACAGAGGACGAGATGGTTGGACAGTGTTCTCAAAGCTATCAGCATGAGTTTGACCAAACTGCGGGAGGCAGTGGAAGACAGGAGTGCCTGGCGTGCTCTGGTCCATGGGGTCACAAAGAGTCGGACACGACTAAACGACTAAACAACTAAACAACAACAACCCTCAAAGAATCCTGGGAACCTTCGTTTGTTAAGGGTACTGGGAATTGTAGGCCTGTGAGGGGGAAACTGCAGTTCCCAGAATACGTGGGGGGGGGGAGAAATCACAGGATTTAAATGTATGTTGGATGTCTGGTGAGAATCTGCTCCATATTTGCTGGTCCTCACCATTGCCCACATGAAATGGGAAAGTACTCTTGAATTAACATTGTACCGTATATTTGTCCATGCAATGCATGTTGTTTTGTAGTTGTGTGATGTGTGCTCATACTGTATCATGATGGCTATTGTCTATAAACATTGTCTATGCTGTGTGCTGTTGTCCCCTCCCCTCAATTTACTGCTAACCCCCCCCCGATGCTCTAGATACCTGAAGCCCATTGTGGGCATGCACAGGTATGTATTTTAAAATAAAATAAAACATTTCGTCTGTGAAATGGTGTAATAACCAAAGCCATTATTTCCAAGCATGTTTGAAAGTGGGAAAGACAGAGGCAATTTTAAAATTGTGTATGCTTAATTGTGTATTATTCCTGAACTAGGCGGTGGTTTTTCTTTCCTTTTCTCTACCCTAAAAGGCAGTTAAATTGTTACACCTCATCTCAGTTGCTGATACTCTGTTGTTTTATTCTTACTGCTTTTACTCATCAGCGATAATCTTCTTCTAGTGTTTAAATTGTTTTATTAATGATTGGGAAATCACCCTGGGAGCATTTTTTAAAATTTATTTTTCCTGAAGCTGCAGGACAGAAACTTATTTGTTCGTAAGTAAATATCCTCTGGCAGGGGAGCCGGATCTTCCTCACAAAGTGACACTCATGAGGCAGAAGTTGGTAGCTCTCTGATAAATCGCATGACAAACCACCAGTGGCAACAGCCTGTCCTGCGCTTCCTTTGGAAACACCAGACATTTGGTAAATGAAGTCATGAAGACTTCCGTTTTTCAGGAAGTAGGACTTTCGCCGCCATGGGTTTGTTGCGCAACGTGGGCCAAAGTTAAGTAATAGCTCTGCGCTGTTGATGAAATTGCCTTGCTGCCCTCACACTCCTCAGAGACTGTGTCTCCACACAAATGAGAACAGGGAAGGCTCAAGAAATTTTGCTGCCTGAGGCAAAGGTCAAGATGGCCACCCCCAGTGCTTTTTTTCTTAAAAAAAATACCGTATTTTTTGCTCTATAAGACTCACTTTTCCCCTCCTAAAAAGTAAGGGGAAATGTGTGTGCGTCTTATGGAGAGAATGCAGGCTGCACAGCTATCCCTGAAGCCAGAACAGCAAGAGGGATTGCTGCTTTCACTGTTCAGCGATCCCTCTTGCTGTTCTGGCTTCTGAGATTCAGAATATTTTTTTTCTTGTTTTCCTCCACCAAAAACTAGGTGCGTCTTGTGGTCTGGTGCATCTTATAGAGCGAAAAATACGGTATGTTTAGGGGTAATTTCATTTTGACTCAAGAAAACCACCATTTTATAGTTCAAATCGGGGGAAATAAATACAGTAAATGGACAAAAGTACGAAGATTCACAAAATGTTTAGGGGTATGCGTACCCCTGCGTCCCCACAGAAAAAAAGGACTGGCCACCCCCAGTTTCACATACAGAAGCCGACTGACCTGGTAGTTGAGTCTTAGGCAGTGTACGCAATATATATTTAAAACACATGGCTTCCGCACTCCCAAGAATCCTGGGAAATGAAGTTTACCTTTCACAGAGCTACACCCTTGACAAACTACACTTCCAGTGGGTAGTAGTGTGCTTTAAGTGTATGGTGTTCTATGCAGCCTTCGTTCAGGGCTAGCAATGGGACAATGGCCTCCATCACACAACTGAAGCCTAAGTTAGGGTATCCAGGACAGACCATGTGGAACCCACAGAACCAGTCTCTTAACACTTGGGCACTGCTCCTCACCCCCCAGTGCCCGCTTCCAAAAGAAGTTGCCTCACTCTGTCTAATGGTAGGACCGGCTCTGCCCTAGAATGAGTGAAGCTCTGTGGAGAGTCAAAAGAATTTCAACCAGAGGAGAAGATCAGAGATGATGGGTTCTTTTCACCTAGAAAATCCTGTCATAAGTCAGAAAGATTAAGGATTTATACAATTTTGTAACATGCAGAGAATAGCATCTATAGAGAAAACAGAGATTGGAACTGAGGGAAGTCAGGGGGGGTGCCGAAGGGGGGAGGTGGGAAATGGGGGAGGAATTAAGGATGATATGTTTTAAGATAATATGTTTTGTTTAAATTCCGAATAAAAATATTTAAAATAAAAAAAACCAGAAAATCCTGTCATCATTTCTTAATGCAATCTGATGACAGTTTGCATTAATCTCAAATGACAGTTAAGAAGAGCTTATTTTCACTCACCCCTTTTACCATTTTCCAAACTGTTTTGGTACATTTCTTTATCTTTTTCAAAAAGCTGTTTGATCAGAGGCGACCACAGGACAAAACAATTTGGTACAACCCATCAGGGCTAGGGCAAGGTTTCTTTACAGGCCAGCAGAGATAATTCCCCAAGCAGCAGCATATTACAGGATCAAGAGTTGGCCAGAATGTCCCCCCCCCAATTTACTTTTTAATTTCAGTAATCTAAAAATCACATTGCTGTGTCCAGGGCTTTTTTTTTTTTGCCAAAAATCTCAGGTGGGTGCCATTGCCATTCTAAGAGAACAAGGGAGGCGTTCACAGTGAGTTCCAGCACCCCGTTTTCTAGAAAAATAGAACTGGCTATGTCCCACATTAGTTTCCTGGGCATCTAATACAGATTAGAACCCCCATTTTATCTATAAGAGAACAAATCTCAAAGTCCAGGCATATGGCCCTTGAATATCTTCCCCATGTCAGTTTGAGGAGGGAGGATTTTTCACCAGAAAAAAATTATATGGTGGCAGGACTAAAAGGCCAAGCCCTCCTTAATTCTGGATAATGTTATAGTTTAGGCCCTAAAGGGGCTTTCAAACTGCTGTGCTGTGCTTTGAAGTCCCAACAATCAGTACTTCAAAGTGCAGCATCACCTGACGTCACCCCCTGAGAGGGGATGGGGAGACAAGGAACTGGACCTGCTGGCCAATAATGATTCCCCACCCCTGTGGACTATAACTCCCATCAGCCTTAGCCAGCATGACCAATGGATAGAGATCATGGGAGTTGTAGTCCAACAACATCTGGAGCGCACAACACCCTTTGTTATAGGTAAACTGCACTATCCTGCGATTCCAATTTTGATTTGCAATGTTGCTTTCAAATTGCAAGCTGTTTATGCTCTTTGCCTTTGATAACTGCTTGATTTTATTTCAAAAATCCTAAACGAAGGTTTGCAATAATAAAAAAGAGCAAACTAACTCTTTGCAAATGGCAGTCAGGTCAGTCAAAGCAGACTCTACTGAAAGTTCACATTCAGCATGATACTCACCATAGAGAAGGAACAGTGAAGTGCCTATTAGCTTAATAACTAAGAGAATCATGAGTGGAACTATGCAATCCCACTTCATTTTCCCCAGCAAGCTAGCCACAAGAAACTTAGGAGGAAACCTCTGTGTACGGCACACACGTTGAAATCTTCAGGTATGTCTCCAGCACTGGCTACATCTGAAATGTAAAAATGCCCATGATTAAAAGGCACCAATGCTTTTGAATGATGGTGCTGGAGGAGACTTTTGAAAGTCCCATGGACTGCAAGAAGATCAAACCTCTCCATTCTGAAGGAAATCAGCCCTGAGTGCTCACTGGAAGGACAGATCCTGAAGCTGAGGCTCCAATACTTTGGCCACCTCATGAGAAGAGAAGACTCCCTGGAAAAGACCCTGATGTTGGGAAAGATGGAGGGCGCAAGGAGAAGGGGACGACAGAGGACGAGATGGTTGGACAGTGTTCTCGAAGCTACCAGCATGAGTTTGACTAAACTGCGGGAGGCAGTAGAAGACAGGAGTGCCTGGTGTGCTCTGGTCCATGGGGTCACAAAGAGTCGGACACAACTAAACGACTAAACAACAACAAAGGGTGCCAAACTATAGAGGGCTCTGGGTGCCTGAGCACCCACAAAATTTTTGTTGCGGGTGCTCAGTACCCACACCAGGGCCCCAACGCAACTTCTGAGCTCTTGCAAGGCCTTGGACAGCATCGCCATGTCAGGGCACACAAAAAATAAGCTTACCAGAATGAAAACAGGGCTTCTCCCTTTGTTATTCCTGAAGAGGTGGCTGTCCCGAATGGGGCTCAGTTATGCTGTTTCTCACTACTTGGCTTTCACGGGTGTCTTGCGTCTGCTTGGAGAATGGTGACTTAAATGTTTCCTGCAGCTTCGGATGACTTGGAGGGATGCGTACACCAAGCAGCCTTCTTAGAAATGCACATGCTGAACTTCCCCTCTTACAGACTAGGGTTTCTGTTGAGCAACTCAATGTGTGTGTATGTTGGCGGGGAAAGTACAGTGCTTGCAGTGGCTTAGTGCTAAAATAGGTTCAAGGCTTTGTCCCACTGAGCTAGTGGTATTAATTAGAAAAGGACATACAGAGAGGTGATGGATGGGTCAGAGACAGGTCAGAGAGAATTTTCCTAAGGATGTGAGGCTGAGGGAGGGGAGAGAGTCTTCAGGCGAGAGCTGGGAAGACTCACTGCTTTGTATATGGATAGAAGATTAAGAAATAATTATGACAGAGGGCTTGATATAATTTTGTGTTTTATTAGGATTACAGTGGTACCTCGGGTTACATACGCTTCAGGTTACAGAATCCGCTAATCCAGAAATAGTGCTTCAGGTTAAGAACTTTGCTTCAGGATGAGAACAGAAATCGTGCTCTGGTGGCGCGGCAGCAGCAGAAGGCCTCATTAGCTAAAGTGGTGCTTCAGGTTAAGAACAGTTTCAAGTTAAGTACGGACCTCCGGAACGAATTAAGTACTTAACCCGAGGTACCACTGTACTGTTGTTGTTATTCTTCATGTTCTTTTTCTCTCTGCTTCCTCTTTTCTTCTTTTTACTCTCAATCTTTTCGTGTTCTTTTCTCTTTCCTTTCCTTTTTGTCTTTTTGATTTTATTCGTTCAAGATACTATTTTACTGTACTGTGGAAATCTTAATAAAATCTTGGGGTGGGGGGGAAGAGAGAAAAGGATCTGAGTCAGACCAAAAGTAGAAGAAATTTAAATCAAAACAAAACACAAAAATGATGAAAACATAAAAACTCGGCAGTAAGTAGGGTTGCCATATTTCAAAAAGTGAAAATCTGGACACAAATGTTGTTGAGCTTTTTTGGGGGGGGGCAGTTGGGCACCATTGCCATTCTAAGAGAACAAGGAAGGTGTTATGTACTAAGCTTGGATCCTAGAACAATAGGCAAGTAGGTTTGGGGCCAATTCAATCACTGGTTTTACAAGCTGCAATTGTGTCATTAGAATCTAGAATGTGATATAATCATTAGAGTTGGAAGAGACCACAAGGGCCATCGAGTCCCAACCCCCTTGCCAAGCAGGAACACCATCAGAAGCACTTCCTGACATTTGGTTGTCAAGCCTAGTTTCTGCTTAAAGACCTTCCAAAGAAGGGGGACTCCACCACACTCCCTTAGCAGCAAATGTCCACTGATCGAACAGCGTTACTGTCAGGAAGTTCTTCCTAATGTTTAGGTGGAATCTCTTTCTTGAGTTTGGAATCCATTGCTTCCGTGGTCCGCTTCTCTGGAGCAGCAGAAAACAACCTTTCTCCCTCCTCTATGTGACATCCTTTTTATATAATATGAAACAATGGCTATCATATCACCCCTTAAACCTCCTCTTCTCCAGGTAAACCATGTCCCAGCTCCCTTAGCCGTTCCTCATAAGGCATCCGTTTCAGCCTTTGTCATTTTTAGGTTGCCCCTCCTCTGGACACGTTCCAGTTTGTCAGTGTCCTTCTTGAATGTGTGGTGCCCAGACTGGACACAGTACTCCAGGTGAGGTCTGACCAGAGCAGAATACAGTGGCACTATTACTTCCCTTGATCTAGATGCTATACTCCTATTGATGCAGCCCAGAATTGCATTGGCTTTTTTAGCTGCCGCGTCACACTGTTGGCTCATGTCAAGTTTGTGGTCAACCAAGACTCCTAGATCCTTTTCACATGTACTGCTCTCAAGCCAGGTGTCCCCCATCTTGTATTTGTGCCTCTCATTTTTTTTGCCCAAGTGTTGTTGTTGCTTAGTCGTGTCTGCCTCTTCGTGACCCCATGGATCACAGCACGCCAAGCACTCCTGTCTTCCACTGCCTCCTGCAGTTTGGTCAAACTCATGCTGGTAGCTTCAAGAACACTGTCCAACCATCTTGTCCTCTGTCATCCCCTTCTCCTTGCGCCCTCCATCTTTCCCAACATCAGGGTCTTTTCCAGGGAGTCTTCTCTTCTCATGAGGTGGCCAAAGTATTGGAGCCTCAGCTTCAGGATCTGTCCTTCCAGTGAGCACTCAGGGCTGATTTCCTTAAGAATGGATAGGTTTGATCTTCTTGCAATCCATGGGACTCTCAAGAGTCTCCTCCAGCACCATAATTCAAAAGCATCCATTCTTCGGTGATCCGCTTTCTTTATGATCCAGCTCTCATTTCCATACATCACTACTGGGAAAACAAGCTGCAATAAAGAGCATGAAATCACTACAGGACTCCGAGTATATTTCAGGAGGTATTCAGGCTGAGTTCCAGCACCTCTTTTTCTAGAAAAATAGCACTGCCTATAGGGAGGGGTGATATTTCACACATGTGGTCCCTCTGTCATTTAGGGCTTTCAGTAGTAGCACAATCACCTTCAAGTTGGGTCTGAAAAAGAACTGGCAACCAATGCGGCTGTTTTAAAACTCATATAATATAAATTCCAAGTGGTACCGCAGCCAGTAATCTGCCTGCTGTGTTTTGGATCAGTTGGACTTGCTTGTCAAAGGGGTGATCAAAGGTTTTCCCTATTAGGGCAGAAACAACACTACCATGAAGCAGTGTGTGGCGTCCATGCTCATGTGGTGGATATAGGATATAGGGATATAGAATGGGAGTGGGAGACAACCAGATCTAACCCACAGGGAAAAACCCACTGAGAAAAAGGTAAAAGTACCCCTGCCCGTACGGGCCAGTCGTGTCCGACTCTAGGGTTGCGCGCTCATCTCGCTCAAGAGGCCGTGAGCCGGCGCCGTACGAAGACACTTCTGGGTCACGTGGCCAGCGTGACGAAGCTGCAGCTGGCGAGCCAGCACCAGCGCAGCACACGGAAACGCCGTTTACCTTCCCGCTATAAAGTGGTACCTATTTATCTACTTGCACTTAGGGGTGCTTTCGAACTGCTAGGTGGGCAGGAGCTGGGACTGAACAACGGGAGCTCACCCCGCCGCAGGGATTCGAACCGCCGACCTTACGATCAGCAAGTCCTAGGCACTGAGGTTTTACCCACAGCGCCACCCGCGTCCCTCCAATGTCTCCCACAAATGCCTCAAAGTAATGGGAAACATTAATCTCCTGTCCTGTCACCATCATCTACAAATTTATTTGATAAGCCACTGGTCTTGATAACTTTTCCAGCACAAAGTTCCAGTACAAACTTTCTATTACATAGACAATTAAATAATGATAAATAATAAAAGTTAAAATGCAGTGTGATTATCCTAAGACATTTTTCCATCGTAATAAAAACCCTAACCGATCTCCAGAGATTTTCCTGTGTACCTCTTCATTTGATTATAAGCCATGTTCTGTTTTGACAACAGTCATTTGCTTAAGTGTCTCATGGGAATGGTTATGGAAAACTGGAAACAGAATCCTTCTGCTCTTTGCATCTCCACGTCCCGGTTTGACCACACCTGGGCAATTAGGAAAGCAAAGTTTATGCAAAGTACTGAGGAACTTTTAAAGCAAGGAGCCAAAACAACTCATGAAGTTCAATGTAGATGATAAAAAGATAAAAAGAACACCAAACTTGATATTCATCTTGCTGGGTTCCGAAATAATTATTTTTCTGGGTATCTCCTTTTGGGGCAAACCACGTCCACCTGCCAGTCACCTGACACCATATACTGGCAGATTCTGTGATCTGTTGTTCAGGGCTAAGCCTTTATTGCTAATGGAAAGGATTTTTCATCTCCAATCTTAGTGTTAACCACCACAGCACTAAGACTAGAGATAAGCCTCTGGCGTGCTCTTTAAAAGCCAGCAGGCAGAGGATTATTTCTGATCTTAGCGCTGTGACACTACAGTGCTAAGATCAGAGGTAAGACCCTGCTGCTGGCATTTACTACCAAGGAACCGCTGCTTGCCCCTGGCAGTTTGAACTTTGAATCCCCTTATGTCATATGGAAGAACATCAAGGCAAAGGGAAAACCAGCTTGGCCCCAACAGCTGCAAGGTCTTTGCTTTCTCAGTCCCTCACAGAAAGAGCACTCGGCTCCAACTCTCACTGTGGATCCGAAAGGAACTGTGTCCTTGCCTCATTAATAAGTCACAGTAACTTGTGAATGTATGTGTGAGGGGTTCTCCCAGCCCAAAGGTGCGGGAGGAGCTTACAACTTGTTGTAAACTACTTTGAGAATCAGTTGATCGAAAGGTGGGATATATATCTCCTAAATAATTAATGATAAATGATAAATAAAATGGATGTCAAAATTCTGAATTTGAAACAGGAGCATCATGACATATAGTCTTCTCCCCTTCTCACCCCCACGTTGGATGGGATTGGGAAGACCATTCCCCCCAAAAAGTCATTAAACGTTTGTTCTCTGCCTTCCAGATGAAATGGCCTCAAATGGAATTTTACACCCTTTGTGGAATATTTGAAATGAAGGAATTATTCTGCTAAAAATAAAATCATGACGGCTTGTTGACTGCCCTGAAATATCAGAAAAGTGACTAAGGTATTGTGTTACATTTCTATGAGGCATGGGTTTTTTTGCTTGGTTGCCACAGGTGCCATTTAGAGAAACAATAATTGGAGAACTCTGGTCATTTGCATTGGTCATTTGCTCATCTTCAACAAATTAAAGCCTCCTCTCTAACCATTTTCAGAGTGAACAAGATTCCCTGTATCTTCCACGAGTACAGCTATCATTTCTGTGGGATCCACCATGTCTGAAGACCAGATGAATCACCTCTCTCTACTCGCAATCTTTTACCTCATTGTTTCAGGTACTCTTCATCTCTTGGGCATCATCACAAATTATCTTCATTCTAATATTATATGGAAGGGCTCATTTCTCATTTACATTAAATGTTACTAGCCTTGCAGTTCCCCTCTTTCTGTAGTTTACAATTGGTGTGAGGAGCAGAATAGGGAATGAGACCCTTGACGAAATTGTTTGGGATGAAATCTGTTACGCTAAGCTCTTTTCTTCTTTATTGACCCATATTTGAGATAATTTCCTGAAAACAGTCCATAAAGGGTACTGTATACTTGTGCGACTAGCACAGATTCAGGATAGAAATATTTGGACATGTTGAAGGGGATGTGGGTGTTATTGACAAACATGCTAGGGTTGCCTCATGTGGCTACTTTTGGGCACAAATTCTTAAGGAAACTGGAATCATTATTGACCCTTCACCAGTCCTAAACCCCAAATGGTGTCTTCTTTCTATTTTCTCAGGAATTAGTGCTTACCTCTCTATAGAACCTTTGGTGATTTTCCTTTTAGTTGCAACTACACAGGTTGTAACACAGGGATGGAAGGATGTTTATGTCATTAATGTAAATTGATGGTACAGTGGAACCTTGGTTTTCAAACGTAATCCGTTCCGGAAGACAGTTCGACTTCTGAAACACCCGAAAAACGAAAACTGAAAGCAGAAGCCTCAGTACAATAAAGGTAAAGGTAAAGGGAATGACCATTAGGTCCAGTTGTGGCCGACTCTGGGGTTGCGGCACTCATCTCGCTTTACTGGCCGAGGGAGCCAGCGTACAGCTTCAGGGTCATGTGGAGAGCATGACTAAACCGCTTCTGGTGAACCAGAGCAGCTCACGCAAATGCCTTCCCGCCAGAGCGGTACCTATTTATCTACTTGCACTTTGACGTGCTTTCGAACTGCTAGGTTGGCAGGAGCAGGGACTGAGCAACGGGAGCTCACCCCGTCACAGGGATCTGAACTGCCAACCTTCTGATCGGCAAGCCCTAGGCTCTGTGGTTTAACATACAGTGACACCCGCATCCTCAATACAATAGGGAAACTCAAAAAGGAAGCGGCGAGGCACGTTTGGCTTTGGAAAATCTTTTGAAAACCGAAGCAGTTACTTCTAGGTTTTCAGCATTCGAAAGCCAAAACGTGTGTCAGTGGAGACGTTCGACAACCGAGGTTCCACTGTATAAGAAAACTTTGTTCTTAGCTGTCTCAGTAAAATTCAGCCATCATCTTGAGGTTTTGAAGGAGAATGCTAAACCAATGGACTTGGCTGCCACTTGGAGGACTTTTGTAACTAACATGAAGAAACAACTTATGAAGCTACTTATCCCAGTGAAGGATGACTTTGTTTGGCAGTACCCATGACATATGCCTTTGTTTGACTGATTGGTCTGAGTTATGCTTCTTTCACCATTTAATTGATTGAATTCAGTTAAAGCCTTTGCACTAACCATTTCCAGAGCAAACAAGATCCCATTTATCTCTTGCTGATGCAGATACCACCTTTATGGTCCACAATAGAAAGTGTCCTTTCATACTGCATCACGGTGTGGTATGCTGGTTTGACACCAGCTGATAGGAAGTGCCTACAGAGGGTGGTGAATACAACACAAGATATTATGGGCTGTCCCATGAATCCACTGGATGAAATAGCAGAAGAACGTTGCCTCAGGAGAGTGAGGAAAATTCTCAGGGATGATTCACACCCTGGCCGGCACTTTCTTGATCTCCTGCCCTCGGGCAGAAGATATAGAAGCAGGATTAGTCGCACCAACAGGGTAGAGAACAGCTTCTATCCCTGGGCTGTTAGGCTGCTGAATGAAAAGATAACAACAGGGCAACTGACTTTCGGGTTTGGTGGGTGTGCGTCAGTAAACGAGGGGAATTAACACTAATTGAGCTGAGTGGGGGGTGCTCATGTAACCTCACTGTATACAAGTTGTACAAATGACAATAAAGTATTTCAATTTCAATATGGGATCCACCAGGTCTGAAAACCAGATGGATCACATCACTCTATTTATAACCTTTTACTTCATTGTTTCAGGTGCTCTTTGTATTCTGGTTTTTATCACCAATGGGCTTATTGTTGGTGTGAATGTTACCGACTGGATGAAAGGCAGAAGTCTGATGCCCAGTGATGAAATTCTGGCCAGCCTGGGGCTGTCCAACCTTTGCTTCTGCACCTCACTAATTCTGGACTATTTCATTTCACTCATCTGGAAGGAGTTCTTCAGTAAGTTTTACATGGTGCAAAAAATCACATTCACCCTCGACATTGCTGCAAGCTTTTTGAGCTTCTGGTTCACTGCCTGGCTGAGTGTTTTCTACTGCATGAAGATTGTCAACTTCAAGCAGTCGTTTTTGCTGAGGGTGAAACTACAATTTTCTAGCCTTGTGCGTTGGTTCCTCCTTGGTTCTGTGCTGGCTTCCTGTGGAGCAACATTCCTAGTCACCTGGACTTTTGAAACAGTGTCCCAAGTATCCGACAATCTGAACAATCAGACTTTCCTCAGCCTTCCCTCTGACTTTAACTTTACAAACGACTACAAAAAGCGAAAATTGATACTCGTGCATATGCCTATGCCTTACAAACTCCTCCCCATTATCCTGGGCTGTTCTGTCCCCCTAGTGATAGTGATTGCCTCTTCTGTGCCAATTCTCAATACTCTTTTCAGGCATGCCAAAAACCTGGAACAAAATGCAACCATTTTCCACAATCCTCGCCTGGAGGTTCATCTAAATGCAGCCAAGTCAGTGCTGTCTCTTCTTATAAGCTATACTTCCTTGTTTGTTAGCGAGATAATAATCAGAACGGAAATTTTTCCCAACTGGACTTATCAGTATTTTCTGTGTCTGATCTTTCAACTTTCTAACTTGGTGGCACAAGGTTTCATTCTGGTTGCAAGTAATCCAAGACTGAAGCAATCAGCTGTACAAATTATTTCCTGTGTGCAGCAGTAACCTTAGAAAATCCAAACACAGTTGCTGAGTTTTTGGGGGGCAATCGTCCCAAAAACTGTTGAGCCTTTTTTGGTTGATCGGCAGTGGCGGACGAGCAAGCTTTCGAAATTGCCATCTAGGAGGCAACAAGGAAGTGGCGGCTGCGCAGCGGGGAACAGATGAGATCCCAGACATTTACTATTATATTTACTATTAGCCCCACCCTGCAGACATTAGCGGAATTTTCTGGTTTATATGGCAACCCAGTGCTGATAGAAAGGCTTGTTTAGGTTTGTAGAAAAATCTGGCCATGGATGACATTGCTTGGGCATTAGGTATAGCATCATCCACACCCTTATTACTCCCAGGACATTCTCTCCTTATTATCTCCCAGGACATTCTATACAAGATCTCAAAGTAGCTGTTTTACTACAACGGAATTTCAGAAATAGACTGGAAAGAGAAGCTGCTGAATTGCAACTCATTACCAAACTTAAAACCATGGAGAGACCTGGTCTGAACAAAGACATTGGATTCTTATCTCATACATGACAAAGCCATTTTTCACCTTCTCACCCCTTGCTTTTTCCTGTAAGACCTATTGCAGTCGTTAAGAGTTGTCAACAGGCTCATCACAGCTATCTGCCAATCACCCATTCCCACCACCCTTCTGAGTAATACCCCTCCCCACCTTCTCACTATATAGAAGGATCTGGCAACTTCTGTTTCAGTGTATCTGAAGAAGTGTGCATGCACACGAAAGCTCATACCAAGAACTAACTTAGTTGGTCTTTAAGGTGCTACTGGAAGGATTTTTTTTTGTTTTGACTATGGCAGACCAACACGGCTACCTATCTGTAACCCTTATTACTTGTGTAAGTTTGCAACTATTTTAAAAAACTTTATTCTTTAGGTAGGAGGAATAAGGAATAATGGATAAACATATGTCTGCCTGTCATGGAAACTGTAAAGCTGGGATGAAAACAGACTCACATCACAGGAAAACAAGCCACTGTTGCTTCAATTTAACTATGCTTGTCTTTATTCATAAAGAGACTTCCACTTCACTAATTACAAACTTGAATGGAAGGGATATATAGGGATGTAATGCTCTTGCTAAAAATTCACATGGCCAACTAGAATTGTTCCAAGATTCAAATCTCAAGGACCTGGTACAGGTCTGACTTTGAGAGTGATATGGTAAAGCAAACCCATATCTGACTGGTTTTGCAAATAAAAAATGTGTTACACAAACACACCATTGAAAAATAAAAAGTGCATAGTACAAGTGCATGGAGTAAGATAAGACTCAAACAAGAAGAAAAAGAAAAGAAATAGTGCCCATGTAGAAAACAAAACAGAAAAACAACAATAAATTGTTTTGTAAATATAAAATGTGTTGTCTGCTTTGGACAAATCACTGCTGGCTGCATTGCACATGTGAAAATGACTGAATCGTAATATGGCACAGGTTTTGGCATGAGATGAATGATCTCAGGTTTCCTCCACCATCGTTTGCTTGAGTTTCAAAGATGCTATTCTGAGTGTGAAAATGGTTATAGGTTTGGAAAATGAATCCCAAGCAGCAAACAGCTTAGCTGTAGTTCCGGAACAAGGTGGTCCCTCAACTAGGCTGACCTAAAGTTATTCTAGGGCTTTTTATATATTACCAAGAAGACTTTCAATCTGCCCCAATAGAATACTGGTAGGTGTTGAAATGTATGGAGGGCACCAGATTGGAGAAGCCTGGCCATAAACCAGTAAGTCATTTCAAAGCTCTGTGAAACTAACAGTTGGAAATTTAAAGGCGACAGAAACATTGGCATGACAGAAATGTCAAGATGAAAAATTGGTTTATTTGCATCATTTCCATCATTACAAAAGAGATTTAATCAAATTAATATTTTGATACTATGTTCCTCTACCATGTAAAAATAACTAATGAGAGTTTATTAATCAGAAATTGTTTACTCGGTATAATACAAAAGTCAATTTTTGTTTATTGGATAATTAGGAATATCTACAAAGTAGACAGTGATTAGAACATATTGATTGTGTAGGCACTGGCCAGAATAGTAATGGACATGAATTTTAAGAAATGCTTAAGTAGCGAAGATTACAAGATGTAAGTCCGTGGAGCAGGGAACAATTTTTTTCAAACACAAAATATCAGGGCAAATGCTTTCAATCAGGTGTTTTAGCTATTATTGTCTCATTTAACCTTAGAATGTGATTGGTTTTTTTTTAATTAAGCAAATAAATCAGAAATGAAAATGATTCCAATGGCAATTTAAAAATAAATAGATTACTTCCAATCAAACTGCAAAATAATAATTACAATTTTTAAAAGAAAAAACCCATATGATTTCTATTCCAAATCATCCAAACAATCTGTGCTCAGTTTTCAAAGTCTTTCATTTCAATGAGAATCAAAGGTGTGTACCTATATAGATCAGGGTTTCCCACACTTGGGTCTCCAGCTGTCTTTTTAGACTACAATTCCCATCATCCCTGATCGCTGGTCCCGCTGGCTAGGGATAATGGGAACTGTAGTCAAAAAACAGCTGGAGACCAAAAGTGTGGGAAGCCCTGATTTAGATGCATAACTTGCACAAATCAGGATTTCATGTACATATCTCATGACGCTTCTTTAGCCTCTTGTAAATTACTGCTGGATCCCAAACACCAGCCTGGAATGCTTACAATGTTTCTGAAGGTGCTGAGACTTTGACTCCGCTGCAAGTGGGAGAGGGTTCTATAATTGGGGGTTTGCCACCATGAAGAGGGCCAGGGAGTGTGAGATATGGAGCGTGAGATACCGTATTTTTCGCTCTATAAGACGCACCCGTCCATAAGACGCACCCAGTTTTAGAGGGGGAGAACAAGAAAAAAAAAAGATTTTTCCCCTCTCTGCGCAGCGCCCCTTCAGTGAAGCGGCAGGAGAAGCGGCGCCCAACCCCTCTCGCTCTCCTGGCTTCAGCGAAAGCAGCGCGAAGCCATGGAGCCTGCATTCACTCCATAAGACGCACACACATTTCCCCTTACTTTTTAGGAGGGGAAAATGTGCGTCTTATAGAGCGAAAAATATGGTACCTTGTTTCCTCATCTGATCCAGAAGAAAGAAATTCCAGTGTTCCATCTATTATTCCCTGCCTGCCAGCATAAGATATTTAGGTTTCTTTCTGCCTCCTTCTGACCCAATTCAACAGGTAGAGAAATCTTCAAATCCCATGCTTCCTTGCAGCCAACGATCATTTCCAGTGACTGAGAAGTCGGGAAAGCCTCTCTTATATCTAGCAAACCTGTTTTGTTGCTGGTTACCAGAGCTATTTTTCCAGAAAAGAAGGTGCCGGAACTCACCACAAACACCTCCCTCATTCTCTTAGAATGGCAATGGCGCCCATCTGAGAGGTGCCAGAATTGAGCTCTGGTGAGCTCTGGCTGAAAAATAGCCCTGGTAGTTACCATCATTCCCTTCTCAAAGCTAAAGGTTTTATTTTTTGCTTTGCTGAGGGTTAGGATCACCCATTATAATTATTCTTATTAGGAAGGTTTATTAAAAATAAATCCTTTTTTTGTTGTTTGCAAAAGCTATCATCTTGCTATGGGAAACAATACAGAGGTAAACCTCTCCAGCCATACCATCAGTGTATTCTCCTTTGCTTGAGCACAAGGGGAGGAGATGCTCTAAAATTCGGGGGGGGGGGGCTACAGGAAATTCAGGACCCTCCTTCTCCCTTCCTTGCCCCATGGTTTATCTGGGGAACTGAAGCTGCTATATCTCTACATACCCTTCAACTTTTCTCCAATGAAAATAGGGACATCCTAAGGAAAAGCGGATCAAGTCAGAAATGGGACGGCTTCTGTAAATCCGGGACTGTCCTGGGAAAATAGGGAGACTTGGAGGGTCTGTCGCTATAGAGGGGGAGGTATGCGCTGTTCCTGTTAGCAGGTTAGTGTGCATTCAAAGTGATTTAAAAACAACCACCACCAGCACCCAGAATTGGCCATCTTGAAATTCAAGACGACCTGTTTGGGTTTCTCTCCAGCCCTGAGTGACTTGCTCCAGCTTTGAACTTCATTCACACAGTACCAAAGGTTTGTCCGGGGACAGGCGCCCACTGAGATTTAAGAAAAGAACTAGGGTAAGAGCAGCTTGAGAAGGCTTTAGCACGTGAACGACAGCCAGTAACTACTCATTGGCAATGGACGTTCAGAGTCTGCTCTGAGAAGGGGCGAGAAGCCAAGCGAAAGCCAGAGGGATGAAGAGCAGGCCAGCAAAAGGAAAGTTGCCCGTTGGGCTGAGAGCCTTGGAGGTCACCGTGGGCGGAGTTGCCTGGTGCTTGGCTTTCCTTTCTAGCGGAGGTGCAGGCGGGGATCTGGAAATGTCCTTGCAGGGCTCTGGTTCAAGGTCAACAATGTCTCGGACAAAGCCAGTCTCATTTCTCACCACCTCCTGGAGGTCAAGAAAGAAAGAAAACTTTAAGGATCTACACCTATTTTTTTGCTGTAGTTGTGCGGTTGGTACTACTTCTCCCTTGGAGAGATAAGACATAGTTTGAAATGGAAAATGATGAGGGATAGTCTTTCTTGGGAGGTGGTGGAATCTCCTTGCTTGGAAGTTTTTAAGCAGAGGTTGACTTGAGGTTGCAAAGCACAGCACTTGTTCTCCTCTCTATTTAAATCTCCCTTTGTGTAGAGATTTTCAAAAGGGATACATGACAAATCTGAAGAATCATGAATTGTGCAGGGTGTTTATGTTACCCAGATTTAATATGTTTCCCTCAATGATAGTGAGAGGATAGTGGGACGCTCTCCCAGAATCAGAGCGTCTCTGCAAATGTAGTAAACAGGAACCTGATACTTTGGAGCATATTTTCTTTTCTTGTGATTTTGGCATTTATGCCAGAAGATAATTATTAGAGGCCTTACAACTCAACAGGCTGATTTCTATGCTACCACCGGTTCAGGACCTGCTTTCGTACAGTAATGATCAAATTACTTTAATAGTGGCTGAATTTCTGTGTGCTGTCCATGTAGAAAGACTGGGCCATTATAAAGGGATTTAGTGGTTGTATTGTATTATTTATGCAAATTGATTTTCTTTGGAGTTAAAGATCTGACTGGGACAAACCTTGCT